CGACGACAGTTACATCCCCTCCGCCGCCTTCGTCAGCGCTCGCGCCAACCTTGGTGGCTTCCAGGCTAACTACCTCCGCGTAAGTATCGAGCGTCCACGTGTTTCACGCTTTATTATTTCCGTCTGTAAGCGTGTCTGTTTTTAGTTTTGTTTTTCCTTCCTCTGGTCGATCAAGTACATAACGAAACGCTTTTGCTCCCTCTAGGCCGGTGCCATGGTTTCCAGCGTGAGCGACCTGATCAACCTCCTCGGCGAGCAGTTCCAGCAGAACTCTCAGAACGCCCGCTCCCACAAGTCTGGCAAGCACTCCAGCTCCGGCTCCAGCTCCAGCTGGTCCGTCGAGAAGATCGCCAACATGCTCAACATCGAGGCTGACCAGTCCGAGCAGGTTGAGGCCAACTTCCTGATCAACGTCCTGTCCCAGCAGCGCTTCTTCACCCTCGACAACCACACCGTCGAGCAGATCCCCCAGTACCTGAAGCACGCCGCCAACACCCTCCGCTCTGGCGAGAACTTCAACTACACCAAGCTGTACAACCGCTACTCCCTGACCATGGGCTTCCCCACTGAGATGGGTCTGCCCCTCGTCTACACCCTGAAGGCCCCCACCCTGGTCACCGTCGGCGGCGAGGCTCGCGTCCGCACCCAGCCCGACATGTCCAACGGCCCCAAGGATGCCGCCCAGATCCCCAACACCGTCAACGCCACCGCTGACATCCACTTCACCTACTCTACCCGCACCGAGGCCAAGATCGGTTTCATCACTCCCTTCGACCACCAGCGTTACATCGCCGGTCTGGACAAGGACGTGCTCGTGAACCTGCCCATCCGCGCCAACATTGACCTCGACCTGGAGAACGCTGAGGTGCGCGTCAAGCTGCAGCCCATCAACGCCAACAAGAACTTCAAGATCGCCCAGTTCTCTTGCCAGCCCTACACCGCCCAGCACAACATCCTGGACCTGACCCCCGTCGACCAGATGCCCATCCAGCTGCGCAAGCCCCAGCAGGCTAACTTCACCGTCGGCCAGGACACCACCGGCATGGCTTTCCGCATCGACGCCGCCAGCGAGGCTCCCTTCGCTGACTTCGCCGCCATGTACAACCAGGCCAAGAACTACGACGCCTTCTCCGCTCTGATGTTCCCCACCGCCGAGCAGACCATCAAGGCCTACGAGTTCTCCGTGTCCTTCGACCACCAGAAGACCTCCGCCAAGTCCGTCACCCTGACCGCCTCCTACGACAACGACTACTGGCAGGACTCCAACGACTCCAAGGCCAACAAGAACAAGCGCTCCAGCGACTCCTCCGAGTCCAACGACTTCAGCGCCGAGGCCAAGCACGCCAACCCCAGCCAGAACCTCGCTAACCCCGCCAACGCCAACGCCAACAGCGAGAGCCGCCAGCAGCAGTTCCTCCGCCGCGCCGCCGCCGGCATCAAGGCCAGCAACGCCTCCGTGATTGACCTGTCCGCCGTCTTCAACGGTGAGCACAAGGCTCAGTTCATCGCCACCGCCGCCTACGCCAACAGCCAGGTCGACGAGAAGGCCCGCGTCCTGGTCTACCTGCGCAAGTCCCCCGCCCGCTCTTCCTCCGAGAACAAGGAGCAGCAGCTCGCCATGACCCTCTCCGCCAAGATGCCCAACGTTCCCGCCATGAACTTCCAGAAGGCCCTGAACGCTGACCCCAAGAGCCAGATCCAGGCCCAGATCGCCTTCGGCGAGAAGCTCGACTCCTCTGCCTCCCAGATCAACATCAACGCCCAGATGAAGCAGACCTCTGCCCGTCGTGAGTTCGTCCGTCGTCAGCCCATCGCCCAGCTGTGCGAGCAGCAGATGGAGCACGGTAACAACTTCCTGCCCGCCTGCCAGAACGTCACCGCCCAGGCCAACATCATGGACCTGTACAACGTCAACATCAACTTCGACAAGATCTCCCAGCGCGTCAAGAACTGCACCTACAAGGCCTACGCCGCCGCCCGTTACTTCGGCTGGCAGTACAGCTCCGAGAACTTCGTCAACCCCAAGAACTCCCACAACAACAAGGTCGAGCTTGAGCTCCGCTTCGCCCCCAACATGAAGTCCGCCAACCTGTCCCTCGACGCTCCCGCCATGAGCGCCGAGTTCAACAACGTCCGCCTCAACCCCTGGGTTGCCCGCGCTGCCGCCATCCACCCCATGTACAGCCAGAGCCAGCTGCTCGCCCAGAAGGCCCTCGCCGGTGGTTTCCGTAAGTATATATACTCAACCGATGGCAGTGACTCGTGCACACCTTGCAAAACATACTTACCTTGATTTCCCCCCGCGCAGCCATGTGCGTCGTTGACCAGAGCGCCGCCAACACCTTCGACAACAAGACCTACCCCCTGAACCTGGGCAACAACTGGCACGTCATGATGCAGTCCGTCCCCAAGGTCGACGCTGACTCCAGCTCCAGCTCCTCCAGCCAGGAGGACGCCACCGAGAAGGTCTCCGTCCTTGTCCGTGACTACAGCAACTCCCACAACCAGAAGGAGCTTAAGGTCATCTTCGACGAGGATGTCATCGAGTTCACTCCCAGCTCCGGCTACCCCACCATCAAGGTCAACGGTCTGACCGTCCCCGTGTCTGCCGGCCGCGCCGGTCAGGCCAAGAGCCACTCTGGCGACGTCTTCGCCGAGGTCTACCCCCTGCCCGCCAACACCGTCAAGTTCTACGCTCCCAACCAGCAGATCGAGATCCTGTACGACGGCAACCGCGTCGCTCTGATCGTCGGCCAGACCTACCGTGGTGAGGTCCGCGGTCTCTGCGGTACCTTCGACGGCGAGAAGTTCAACGACTTCACCGCCCCCCGCAACTGCGTCCTCAAGAACGCTCAGCAGTTCGCCGCCACCTGGGCCATCAACCCCTCCGGTTCCGTCAAGGAGCAGCAGCAGAAGGCCAACCAGGCCGCCTGCTTCCCCGAGCGCATCCTGTACGGTGACGTCATCAGCGACAACGAGGCCGGCCGCTACCAGCCCCGCCACAGCCGCAGCTCCAGCAAGTCCCACAAGTCCAGCAGCTCCTCCCGCAAGTCCTCCCCCAAGACCGCCGCCGGCTGCACCAGCCACCGCGTCAAGGTCATCGAGCAGGACAACCAGATCTGCTTCTCTCTGCGCCCCCAGCCCGCCTGCAACGCCCACTGCCAGCCCACCCAGAAGGTCGAGAAGAAGATCGACTTCCACTGCGTGT